TCTAAGTGAGTGGGGATAGGGGAAATCACTCTGATAGATTTGTTTTCTGTGGTGTGTAGATAGGTTTTTATCTGTCTTGCATTTGTAAATGTGTGTATTTGCATTTCAACATTTAAAATCTTATTTCTACTTTAAAATCAGAATTTTTCATTTCCTGTACTGTGCTGAGATTAGGCATTCTACCCAAAAATCAGTATCTTTTCCTTCTGAACTTCATTTATATCATTCATATATTAATCCCTTTAAGCTGAAAGGTTTCCTTACAGTTGTGTGCAAAACACCTAAAAAACGGAATCTGCTCTTTTTATTCTATATGCCATATATTTGTATATAGAAAATGCAGCTTGTTTTGGCATGGGGCGGCATCACCAGGGGGCAACATGTAGCCTTGCAGATGTTCTTGGACTAAAAGTCCCATCGTTCCTAGCCAGCATAGTCAATACTGAGGAATGATGGCTGTGCAGTCCAGCAACATCGGTGGGGCCATAAACTGCCTAGCTCTGGGATTGAGCAAATGGAGCCCAGTTTGCTACAGGGATTTTTCATAGTGCTTAGGTGAAAATAATAGGGTTTGATGGGCTCCTCGTCTACATAGCTTCGAATGCCTATGGCTTCCCAGAGCAGGCTGCTACCCCTGCACATGCACTCACCGCCCAGCTGATAAGCAGGTGCATGCACAATGGCAGCAGGCCTGGATCCTGGAAGGGAAGCCAGCCCACTATCTCTGATGATGGCAACAGTGGTGGAAGTGGCAGCAGTACCAAGCAGGGAAACAACAGGGGAAGTAGGAAGAGGGTGAGTGGGCATCCGTTTTGCTGAAGCAAAACAAAGCGCCAAGGGGTAAAAAGTTCAGCACTTTGTTTTGCTTTGGTAAAACAGGATCCCCAAACTAGGCTGTGAACTGAACCACAAACCAGCCTGATTTGTCAGTTTTTCTAGTTCATGGTTCAATTCGTGCCCATCTCTATCTAATCATTGCTTTCTGCCAATAGTACGCCGTCATCTTCATATTGTAAATTACTGATATTTTTCATCAGTTTTACATGCCTCTTTCATCTGACTCTAATTCTATAGGATATGCTGTGTGTACAGACTGAGAGCAGACAGGAAAGTAGACACAGTGGTCCTAGAGATACTGCAGTCTTTGGTGTCTCCTTCCTTTGGGACTGGAATGTATATTAAATGCTTTCGCCCTGTGGACCAATGTTTCATTTTTCAGATTTGTGACATATTCTTGCTAGGAAAGCGCACAAAATAGGAAAAATAAAGGGAAGTCCCCATTTCCTCACGTCTCTGAATCACAATTTATATTCAGGATCCTAAGGTCCTTTTGAGTGTATGCAATGACATTCACTCTATCGCTGCGCATCTACATCTTTTTAATAAAGCAGAATACAAACAGCTTTGTTTCCATTTTAGAATAATCATAATTTCCTAGGAAGCATAACTTGCAAGTAACATCAAGTCACTGGTAGAATGGCAAGTCATTTTGAATTATAGTCATGAACTAAATTCATCTACAAAGTTTCCATAGGAACCTAAGTTATTTTATTTCTATTCTTCATAAAATCATAGAATGATAGAATAATGGAGTTGGAAGGGGCCTATGAGGTCATGGAGTTCAATTCCCTGCTCAAAGCAGGAATACGGATCAAAGTATGTCTGACAGACGGTTGTCTAATTTTCTCTTAAATGCCTCCACCACTGGATCACTCACCACCTCCTGAGATAATTGGTTCCATTGTTGTACTGCTTTAATAGTTAGCAAGTTTTCTTGATATTCAGCAGAAATCTGGCTTCCTGTGACTTGAGCCAATTATTATTTGTCTTGTACTTGGGGATGATCAAGAACAGATCCTGCCCCTCCTTCTCTATGACTACTTTTCAAATGTTTGAAAAGTGCTATCCTATCTCTCCTCTGTTTTCTTTTCTCGAGGCTAAACATGCCCAGTTCTCAGTCTTTCCTCACAGGGCTTGGTTTCTAATCCCGTGATCATCCTTGTTGCCCTCGCCTGAACTTGTTCCAGTTTGTCGGCATCCTTCTTAAAGTGCAGGGCCCAGAACTGGATGTAGTACTCAAAATGAGGTCTAACTGGAGCAAAATAAAGGGGAACTAGTACTTTATGGAATTTGGAGACTATATTTCTGTTCATGCAGCTTAAAATAGTATTTGCTTTTTTTAAGGCCACATTGCACTGTTGGCTCATATTCTCCTTGTGATCTACAACAATTCTAAGGTTCTTTTCACTCAAGTATCCACCATTTTGCAACTGTGCATTTGTTTCTTTTCCCCTAAGTGTAGAACTTTGCACTTAACCTTCTTAAATTTCATTCTGTTGCATTCAGCCCAGTGCTCAAGCCTATCAAGATTTTTTTGAATTTTGTTCCACCCAATTCTGTGTCATTCTCAAATTTCCCTGATACAGGTCATTAATAAAAATGTTGGAAGAGCAATGGGCACAGGAATGAGCCTTGTGGTACTCCACTTGTTACCTCCTCCCAAATTGAGAAGGAGCCATTGATAAGGATTCTCTGAATATGATTCTGTAACTAACCATGTATCCACCTGACAGTTGTTCTATCCAGTCCACATGTACAGTAGTTATTTTGCTAATCAGAATATTATGTAGCACTTTGTCAAAGACTTTGATGAAGTCAAGATATATTACATTTCCCACTGTCCACCAGGGAGCTTACCCAACCAAAAATGAGATAAGATTAACTTGACAGGATTTGTTCTTGACAAATCTGTGTTGGCTTATAGTTATTATTGCATTGGTTTCAAGGTACTTGCAGA